TAGCCATTGTCAATGGGCAGGCACCTGGTGATGTGCCCGGGGGCTTCACGTACTCCAACTCAACTGAGGGTCACAGTTCTATTGATCTGTGCCTTGCATCTTACGGGCTCTTCGAGCAGATTAACACTCTCAAAGTCCTTAGATCTTACTTGTGGGGAGAGTCTAATGTGCTGAGTGATCATCACCCGCTTATCCTTCGCCTGCATGCCGTTTTGAGGCCAGGGGCTGCACGGGGTCGGAAGCCTCACCTAGCACGTGAACGGATCCCTATTTTTGATATTTCACGCAAGGGCCGCTTCACTGAGCTTTTTCGTGAACCAGATGGCATTATTACAGCGACCATCAACTCTCTCAAGGAAAAGCTTGTGGAAGCGGCACCCTGTGACGAAAGCATAAATGACTTGCGCACCCTTATCAACAAGTGTGCTAGAGAGATGTTCGGCGTTGCACGGGGGATGGAAAAGTCTGTGAAGCGTGACTGGTGGAACGAGGACTGTGCAGCTGCGTGGAATGATATGATGAGTTTCCGTAAGGAGGTCAGGGACCCCGTCTCAGGCAAGCTGCCCGATCTTCATAGGACTACCTGCAAGGCCAAGCACCGTGCCTTTAAGAAGGTTAGGAAGGCCGCTATTCAGGAGATTGAAATGGAAGATATGCGGAGGAGGATTAAGGACGCCCGGTCCAACCCACGCAGCTTGTGGACATGGCTGCGTGGGGGAAAACCACCTCCTTGCGGGATCTCAGATATTAATGCTTTTACCGAGCGTTTTTGGTACGGGAGAGACGAGGCAATGCCGCAATGAGGGTATTCAGTTTAAATGGCTGGACGCGGACCAGGTGACGCACCGACGGGAATTAGCTGCTTGGCTTAACAAGGATTTTACGGAGGATGAAATTGCTAGTGGCCTTAAGGCTATGCGCAACAATAAGTCCGCGGGCCTGGAGGGAACCCCGGCCGAGTATTATAAGTATGCTATCAGGGAAACTGAAGGGCAGTGTAACGACGCAAATGCCAATCTGAGCATCCCGGGTTACGCCTTTGCTGTGTTACAATGGTATCGAGACGGGACCGCACGAATTCCGAAATAAACTTCGGGTCGGCGGTTCGATTCTGGCAACCAGCAAGTCGCAAATTGGCGATTTCATGGTGTAATGGATAAACCAGCGCACTGGCGCGAGGTGGGATGGCTCCTGTGCTCGAAATAATGGCCGAGGACGTCCATTGCTAAGTGGGGGGCAATGTAACGACGCAAATGCCAATCTGAGCATCCCGGGTTACGCCTTTGCTGTGTTACAGGCAGCAGCCCGTGGCGCCTTACTTAACGGTGCTATACAACCGCATATACGGAGCTGAATACCCGCGAGGATTCATGACAGCACCCTGTCCCCCGCACTCAAAAAAGGGGACGTGTCATCAGTGATTTTTTTAAGCAGCCCCTCGCACAATTGTGTCCGGTCATACTGTGCCGAATAAACCCTTCGTACAAGACGCCCCAAAAGCCAGGCGCGAATTTTACCGCGCGGATGCACGCGTGCGATTCTCAAAATGCGCCTGTACAAGTGTATATAAATTTTCTTGGCGAAAAAGGACGAGGTGCGCCAGCGCGTTGTGCAGGTGGGCATGTTGGCCACAGCCGCACGCGGCATGCAGGCCGGAAATGTGGGTGGCTCCTTTGCCGTAATTGAAAGAACTGAAATCATACAACTTAGCTTGCAAGGCTGGGCTCATGGCACGGCCGCGGAAAGAGGAAGCGTTTGGCGAAGCGACACTTTTGTGCAAGCTTGCAGCATGTTATTGACCCAATAATGGGAACAACTAATAACCGGCCTCGGTTACCAGGCTATAAGGTTACTGGGTCGTTAACGGGCTAGGGTCGGTAATCGGTCAGTTACCCGGTAATCAGGCACCATTACCGGGGTGTTTACCAGGTCATTTATCAGGCGGCCAGTTACAAGGCTAGGGTCCATAATCAGTCAGTTTCCCGGTAATCAGGCACCGTTACTGGGGTGCTTACCAGGTCGTTTATCACGCGGCCAGTTACAAGAATAATGGTAATGGGGCAATAACATAGAGCCTTAGAGTCTCGTATACCACCAGCCTGTGCCTACCTTCTCCCTCGGGCAGTGGGGTGTTCAAGTCCACGTCACGTCATGAGCTCCCTTTCACGAGTGCCTAGCCGTCTTCAGGTTACTCAGGCGCAGAGACAGTCCAGTCGATTCAGCTACATTTATAATTGTATTTATTGAGATAATCGCTCACTAAACGTCAA